TTGGGGGGGCTCAGGGGCTTTAGAAGGGGATTTGGGGAGCAGGGGGGAGGCTCAGGCAGAGGATTTTGGGGAGGGGGGCACAGCTCAATTTTGGGGTGCTCAACACGAGGCCTTTGGGACCCTCAGAACGGACTTTGGGGGGTCCCGGATTTTGGTGGGGAATGGAAAGAGCCAGGAGGGGAATTCCAAGAGCCCGGATGAGGGGGAAACGATTAAATAATTAATAATAAAGTGTCGTTGGTTTCACCGAGCTTCTTCTCCTGGTTTTTGGGGGGTGATGGGGGAACGGACCGGGCTGAGGGGGCGGCTCCCATGATGCTCCGCGCGCGGGCGAACTCCCGCGATGCTTCGCGAGAGGTTTTGGCGGGCCGCTCTCCCGCCCGTCCTCCAATCCCGCCTCCACCAATCAGCGCGAGCCTTCTCTGAGCGACAGCGGTGGCAGCCAATCAGAGGCGCCCGAGCAAAGTCTGCTGCAAATGTCACTCTCGCCCGGCACGGGGTCTCCCGCTGTCCCCGTCCGGGGGCGCGGGGCGGGGCGTGGCGCTGCCAATGGCGGCAGAGCCCCTGAGGCGGGTCCCGTCCTCCGCCGCGCCGCCCAATCACGGCTCGCCCTTCTTGCCTCCCCCTCCCCCGCGTTCCGCCTGAGCGACGCTCCCGCCAGCCAATCCCCGCAGCCAGCGCCACAGCGCTCGTCCCCGCCTTCCTTTCCGCCCGCTGGCCAATTGTCGCGGCCGCCTCATTGACGGGCAGCTCCTTCAACCAATCGCGGCGCGCGCTCTCGTTGAGCGACGCGCGGCGCGGCCAATCAGCGCGGCGCGCCCGGCGCGGCGGCGTGGAAGGTTCGCGAAGGCCGCGCGGGGGCCGTTCTATGGCGACCGGGGCGAGCGCGGCCCAACCCGGCCCCGCTCCCGGCCCCGCCGCCCCTCGCGCCCCCATGGCCGCCGCCGCTTTCCCTTTCGCGGCGCTGCCGCCTCCACCGCCTCCTCCGCCGCCGCCTCCGCCACCTCCGCAGCCGCAGCCACCGGCGCAGCCGCCGCCGCCGCCACCTCCGCCTGCGCAGGCCCCGGGCGGCCCCGCGGCCCCGCAGCCCCCGGGCGGCCCCGCGGCCCCTCAGCCGCCGCCCGCCGCTCCCTACGGGCAGTTCCGCTTCCCGTCGCCGCCGCCCGGCCATGACCCACCCGCGGCCCCCGCCGGGGCTCCGCCGGCCGCCCCCGCCGCTCCCCCTCAGCCCGCGGGGGCCCCGCAGCAGCCGCGGCCCGAGGAGGGCGCGGGGGGCGCGGGCGCCGGGCCGGGAGATGCGGGGGGACGGGCGGGAGCCGCACACAAGCCCCGGAGGGCAGGTACGGCTCGGGTTGGGGGGGATACCGGGGGGGTTCGAAGGGTGGGGGGCGTTTTGGGACCCCCGGGAGGAAGCGCAGCCCGGGGCGGGGGGGGGCATGGGGAGGGTTTGGGGGGCGTCCCCGGGTTAGAACCCTCAACTCTGGGGGTCCGCGGAATTTAATTCTCCCGACTTGCGGATCTCCGCCTTGTAAGACCCCGACTTGGGGGTCCCCGCGTTATAACCCCCCCGATTTGGGGGTCTCTGATCCCCCCGGCACTGGGAGGGTCCCGCCGCTTCCAACCCCCCCCTCGTCCCCTTCCCCCCCCCCCGCCGGCCGGGACACGTGTCAGGACACGCGAGGCCAAGGTGGAGGCGGGGGGAGCCCTTGGAACGGGACCCCCAAACCCCCCCCCGGGGCACGGAGCTTCCCCCCAAAACACCCCCGGACCCCCTGTCAGGGACAGCGACCCCCCCACATCCCCGCTGTAGGGACGGGGCTTCTTTGGGACCCCCCCAAAACACCTCCCAGATCCCCCTAAAACCCCATAAGGGGCATCCCCCCGTCCCCGCTGCCCCTCAGGGTGGCTCTGTAGTGGCAGATTTGCCCAAATCGCGGCGTTTTCCCCCAAGATTTGCCCAAATCGCGGCGTTTTCCCCCCCAGATTTCCCGCGGAAGCGGAAGCGCAGCCGCTGGAACCAGGACTCGCTGGAGCAGAAGACCGTGATCCCGGGGATGCCCACGGTGATCCCGCCCGGGCTGACGCGCGAGCAGGAGCGCGCCTACATCGGTAACGGTTTTGGGGGGAAAAGCAGCGGTTTTGGGGGTCACCGGCCCCGGGGTTGGGCTCAGAACACGGGCTTTGGGCTCAGATTCCTTCACCCACCGCCCCAAGGATGAGGTGTGGGCAGGAGCGCACCCACACTGGGAGGAAAACGGGATTTTGGGGTCAGAAATTAAAGGTTTTTGGGTTAAAAATCCCCTGGGATTTGGGTCAGAAGCACCCCTGGATAGGGGTCAGAACCCCCTCGAGATTCTGGGGCTAAACCTCCAGGATTTGTGGTTAGAACCCCCATGCTCGTATCAGTACCAGCCCCAAATTTTGGATTAAATCTGGGGAATTTGGGGTCAGAAACCACCCCTGGTTTGGGGTCAGAATCTCACCAGGATTTGGGGTCAGAACCCCCCTGGGATTTGGAGGAAGTTAATCAAGCCAAAACTTGCAATTTTGGGCAATAATTTGTAGGTTTAGGTGAAAAATGTATCACTTTAATGCAACAATCTCTTGGTTAACCGCTTTCATTTTTTGGTAATAACGTATTTTTAGGTGTTATTGTGTGTTTTAAGGTAACAATGTTCCTTTGATAACCTTTATTTTTAGTAATAATGAGGTGCTTTAGGTAATAATGATTGTGTTTGATTACATCTCCCGTTCTAGGTAATAACAGTTGCTTTTTTTAGTAATAGTCATGCGTTTTGAGTAATAATGTGGTTATTTTAGGCAATGTCTAATTTTTTAGGAATAATCTCTCATTTTAGGTAAAATTGTGGTTGTTTTAGATAAAACTGTGGTTGCTTTAGGTAATAACGTTTATCCTTTGTAGTAATAATCTCGCATTTTAGGTAACAGTGTGGTATTTTAGGAAATAATGTCTTTTTTTATGACTGATAATCTTCTATTTTAGGTAATAATGTCTGGTTTTATGATAACAATCTTTAGATTTTCCATAAGAATGCCAGGAATAATGGTAATAATGTGCTTTTTTTGGGTAATCCTGTGATTTTTTTGATAACGATGTGATTTTTTTCTTTTGTGATAACCCGCTTTTTTTGGTAATAACCTGTTTTTTGGGGTAACAATGTGGTTTTTTTGGGGTAATAACCTGCTGTTATTGCTAAGAAGGTGTATTTTTCTGCTAATAATGTCGATTTTAGGTAACAACACCTGCTTTTTCTCACCGTAACCATTTGGTTTTAGGGCAGTAATGCCTGGTTTTGGTGCCATGGAGCCGGTGTAGGTAGAAAAAACAAAGCAAAAAAAAAAAAAAAAAAAAAAGAGTTTTAACCTGGCCAAGCTGAGCTGGGGCAGGAGGATTTTTGTGGGAGGAATGTTTTGTTTTGATTATTTTTTTAATTTTCATTTTTTTTTTTTTTTTTGAGGGGTGGGTAAAATGTGGGTGTTTTGTAACTGTGTCTCTCTCACCTCTCCGGGACCGGGTTCCTTCCAGTGCAACTGCAGATCGAAGACCTGACCCGCAAACTGCGCACGGGAGACCTGGGCATCCCCCCTAACCCCGAGGACAGGTCGGGACCTCCCCCCCCTGCCCCCCCGGGCACCCCCCCGGGCCCCCCCAGACCTGGGCACCCCCCCCGGGCCCCCCCGTGAGCCGCAAGCAGCGCACGGGAGACCCCTGGGTGTGCCCCTCCCCCTCCCCCAGGACAGGTCGGGGCCCCCCCCCCCCGTTTCCCCCCCTGGATTTGGGGGTGCTGTTCTAAACCCCCACCCCCCTCCCCGTTTTGGGGTGTTTCCCCTGAGTTTGGGGGTGCTGCTCTCTGAGCCCAGCCTGGGGCTCGTTAGCTGCGGATTAACGACCCGTGCTGGCGGCTTAATGAGCTCTGAGGGCTTAACGAGGCTCCGGCCCCACTGCACCCCCTTTTCCCTCTCCTTTCCCCCCACTTTGCACCCCAATTTGGCTCTGCTGGGGGGGGCAGAGCTGCTGTTGTCCCTGCAAAGGGCCAAATTCCCCCCCCTCCACTCCCTCTCTTCACCTTTTCCACCTGTTTTGGCCCCATTTTTCTGTGGCAGGGCAGGACGGGGTCCCTCTAACCCGTAAAGGGGGACCCTCACCCCTCAAGAGACCCCAGCTCTGGGGAGGGGGTCCCCAGCTCTGTGGGGGTCCCTCACCTTCCAGGGGTCCCCAACCCCGGGGGGGTCCCTGTGTCCTCAGGGATCCCTCACCTTCCGGGGGTCCCTCACCTTTCGGGGGTCCCTCACCCCCGTGGTGGCCGGGGGGGCTCTCCCGAGTCCCAGGACCGGGGGGGAGGGGGACACCCTCCGGCCCCCCAGGTTTTAGGGGTCACATCCCCCCCCCGCCCCACAGCCCCAGGTTTTGGGGGTCTCCCAGGTTTGGGGGGGGCGCAGGCCCCCCGCGCTAACCCAGCCTTGCTCCTGCAGCGCCCCGGGCCGAGGCCGCTCCCCCGCTGCGGCGTCGTTAGCGCTGGTTTGGGGGGGGGAATTAATTAATGAATTAACGATTAATCACGAGCGGGGACAGTGACGTCGCAGTTCCACCGAGGACCCGGCTGCTGCCAACCCCGAAAAGTCGCTTTTTCCCCCCAAACCGGGGGCAGGTTCGACTGTCGCCCGCGCCGGCTGTTTTTGGAGGATCCGCCTTAATCTCTTCCCTTCTTGCAGCCGCTGCCAAAATTCGCTATTTTGGGGGGGG